TGTCCTCAGAGACTGGAATTACAGGTGGGTGCCACTCTTACCCCAGTTATGTGGATATCGAGATCCAGTCTTCATGTCTCTGACAAGTGCTTTAACCACTGAGCCAGCCCCCAGACCTCTCTTTTTTTCAGGTCATGTGAATTCCATTTGCTTCCTCCTCATGTTCCTTCAGGATCTCTTCCTCTCCTTCATGATCCCCTGTCTAGTCTTGTGACACACAGACACATACACTCATATAAATATATACACAAAATTTTTCTTTTTTTTAAAGATTTTTAAAAATTATATGTATGGGTGTTTTGTTTGCATGTTTGTATGTTTACCACATATATATACAGTCCCCAAAGAGGCCAAAAGTGGTTGTTAAGATCCCCTAGAACTGGATAGAGTTACAGTTGTGAGCTGCTCTGTGGGTCCTGGGAACCGATCCTCTTCAAGAGCAACCAGTGCTCTTAACTGCTAAGCAGTCTCTCCAGCTTCCAGATATATAAATTTAAATCTGGATTCCATGTCTGAAAGAGAACATGCAATGTTTGCTTTCCTGAGTCTGGCTTTGTTTTTAAGCATTGTATGTATTTATTTTGCATGTGAACACACATATAGAAGTCAGAGGACTACTTCCAGGAATCATCTCTCTTCTCCCACATGGGATCCAGGGATAGAACCCAGTTGTCTGGCTTATTGGCAAGCCCCTTTACTCACTGAACCCTGTTGCTGGCCAGAGTCTGTCTTATTTCATTTAACATGATGATTTCCAGTTTACTTCTTTTCTGGTAACACCCCCTCCCCCAGATCCTCCACCTCCCTTATCCCCAGAGGCAAAGTCTTACCGGCTTCTTTCTGTTTTTTTTTATAAGACTCCCTGATGGAACTCTGAGCCTCTTGGCTTGCTCAGCCTGTAGTCTGCCACTGAGTCCTGTCCTTGCCCATTCTGTTTCTTATGCCTTCTTTTGACACTGTGTATGTGATGTATGTTTGTGCCCACCCTTTCATGTAGACATACTCTTATCTGTTGCACCTACTTCACGGCACACACCGAGACTGTACCCGTGAAGCCCTATGACAGCCTAGCCTCAAACCTCTGTGATTCCACATAGCTGCCAGAGCTTTGCTCCCCAGATGCACACAGTTCCCGTATCTACTGCAGGTCTTGGGGGTCCACTCCACATGGCCATACAGGAACTCAGAGGTGGGTGGCAGGTCACAGGATAGCCAGCCATTGATTGCAACATCCTCCAGGAGGTGGGTGTGAAGAGAATATTTCTGGGACAGGGATGGAACTCACAGTTCGGTGATGAGCATATGCAGGCTCATGAGGCCCTGGATTCAATCTCCAGCCCAGACAACATCAAAACACAGGTTACCAGGCATGGTGGTACATGGAGGCAGAGGCAAAAGAATCCCAGTGAATCTGAGGACAGCCAGGGCTGATACAGAGAGGCCCTGCCTCCGAAAATAAATAAACAAGTAAACAAACAAATAAATGACATTAAAGTAAACCTTTTTATTATTATTTAAATCCAGACATGGTGTCTCAGGCAATCCCAGTGTGGGAGAATGAGGCAGGAGGATTACAGTCAGTTCTAAGATATACAGCGAGTTCCAGGTCAGTTTGGGTTACATAGTGAAACCCTATTTCAATTTTCATCCTACCCCCAAAAACTTTCTCTTTTTTACTGCTGGTTTCTCCAGCTGGATACGAAACACAGTTCACTGTCTGCAGACCCCTGTCATGTGGTTCATACTTTTTTCAGTGGGAGATCTTGGCGGGAGTGGGGGGGGGGTGGGGAGATGGGGCAGAGAGCCAGTGAGCAAGCATGAAGTAGTGGGGGAAGCTGGGAGGGAGGGAAGGAGGAAGAGAATGACACAAAATTGCCTGGTGGCATGCAGCTGTAACCCCAAAACTCAGGAGGCTGAGACAGGGTCCCAATACATACCCCTGGCTCTCCCAGGACCACATTATGAAACCCTGCCTCAGAAAAATGACAATAAACACAAGCCAAGGAGTATGAACATACACATCAGGAATGCTTGACAAGCAATGATGAAATCTCTCGAAACAAACGAAATGTGGGAAACCTCTGTGAAGAAATGGTCATAAAACAAAACACCAAGTTACTGGGCAGTGGTGGTGCATGCACTCTTTTAATCCCAGCACTTGCAGGGCCGAAGCAGGTGGATCTCTGTGAGTTTGAGGCCAGCCTGGTCTACTGAGCTAGCTCCAGAATAGCCAGGACAACACAGAGAAACCCTATCTTGAAAAATCAGAAACAAAAGCTCCAAATGGAAGCTGCGGCAGACACAACAGACAATGCCAGTTACTGACACCCTGGGCAGAGCCTCTCACCGCCACCAAGTTCCTATCACATAGCTTTCACTGTGGGGGAGGGGAGCCCAAGTCTGAGTAAGAAAAAAGAATAAACTCGGTTTCCCTAATATCTGTTTACAATGCAGATCCCTTTCACAATCTCTCACCTCCACTGGGCGAGCCACAGGGACACCCCCTCCACTTCTGCCCAGGGTAGCAGTGGCAGATTCTGCTGATGAGGCAGCCTCAATTCAGCATTCCTCCTAGGCTTTGGCCCCATTGAATACTAGTTTGATGTCTAACCATGACCCCTCTTCCTGGGTTTCCACTAATTTGGTTTAACCAACCAGCAGACTGTGTATTTATTATGATTTTTTTAAAGACAGGGTCTCAATACACATCTCTGGCTCTCCTGGAACTTACTATGTAGATCAGGTTGGTGCAAACTCAAAGGGATCTGCTTGCATCTGCTTCCCAAGGGCTAGGATTAGAGGTGTGCACCACCTGCGTTCAGTTTATTATAAAGGACAGAGAAAGGTAGATGCAGGAAGCCAGGTTGGAGAAAAGGTTCTGTGCTTCCCAGACCTCCCAGGTGCTGTCTGAGTACAAGTTCGGAAGCTTCCAGAAACTTCTCTGAGCCAGGTGCTAAAGGCTGTTATGGAGACTTCATAGAATATACACGATGGATCAGCTTGGCTGCCCTGATGTTTGTGATCAGGTCAGCATCAGTCCCTGGGCCTCCCTGAGGTCTGGGTGGGTGAGGCTCAACCAGGCTTGGAGGGTGAAGGATTCCCCCTCAGGAAGGCCATTAGCATACCAAAAGACACATCTTCTCTGAGATTCCTGGGATATCAGAAGCAGTCTGGCAGGAAATGGGGACCTCAGCAGTGTCACATCCAGGCCCAGTTCCATTTCTGGCTCCTATTCCCCCCCTTTCTCCTTTCCAGTCCTTGGAAGCTTTCTAGAGCCAGTTTTTAATAGAGTAGAGGTAAATCGGAGCCCTTTGTTTCCTTTGGGGAAGCCACTCACCTCTGCTTCCCAGTCCCTAGGTGTCAACTAATGGCAACCCTCAGCTGCCCATCAGAGCCACCCTGTTCTTGTCCCTCCTCCAGAAGTCAGAATCGACTCTAACAGCCATTGTTGTTGAACCCACCCGCTGAATGCACATGGCCACATTGCCCTCTCCCCATCATCCTGCCCTGCTTCCTTGCCTTGACAACAGCACCAGCATCACACTTGCTTTCCCAGCATGCCTAGCTGCTGGCCCTCTAGTAAAGTCCTGATTCCTAGATGGCAGAGGAATTTGACAAAAAGTTTAAGCAAGCTTTGACTTTCTGTCCTTGATACCAAACAAAGAATCTGATTTTTTTTTTTTTTTTTTTTTTTTTTTTTTTGTAGCTGAATATGGTGGCACATGCCTCTAATCCCAGCACTAGGGAGGCAAAGACAGATTTGTGAGTTAGAGGCCAGCTTGGTCTACTTAGCAAATCCCAGGACAGCCAGAGCTGTATAATAGAGAACCCTTGCCTCAAAATAAATAAATAAATGGGTATATAATTTGTCAACAAGCCCCCCCTCACCCCACCAGACAGTGTGTTCCCAAATAACAAAAGCCAATGGTGGGGCTTTCTGACTTAAACTATTGTCCTCCTGGTCTGATCTGGTGGTTGAGTATGAGGGGGTCTGAGAAGGGACCACCCATTGTCAACAAAGGCACCAGGGCCCCAGGCTAGAACAGGGGAGTCGCCCCTCTTGTGGCTCTTTCCTGCCTCATTTGCATCCCACTTGGAACAGAACAACTTTTAATACAAACCAACTCCTTTTTAATGTAGAAAACAAATGTCATGTACATAAATATGATCTGGGGCATAAATAAAGTAAGAAAATAAGAGATGTAATGAAATAAATTACTTATAAATATCACACTGCCAAGTAAGTGCTGTGGAAAAGATTCCACATCTCCCCTGCAGTTGTTGAAAAATTTAGGGTTTCCCAATCTTGTTGTTCATTTGCAAATGAGGGGTGCAGGTTGATCCACAGAACGCTTGATGACCAGGGAGAAGAGTCAGGAGCTGGGGGCAGGAGGGTACAAGTAGATGGCCCTTGAGCTCCAAGCTCCCTCTGGGGTTGGAGAGCCCAGGTGAGCTCTGAGAAGGGCTCTGGGCAGATCTAGAGGCTCATGTCCAAGGCAAGCTGTTGGGACACAAGTGGCAGCTTAGTTACCCACTCAGCTGAGGAGTCCACTCCTGAGCTGAGATATCCATCTGACATCTAGAAGTTGGGGGAAGGGGAATTAAATGGTCAGCTGGAATTTTTAACCCCAAAACCATCCTGCAAGGCTCCCAAGGTTTTCCTGGCTGCCCTTTGCTCCAAGTTTGTGATCCCCCATCAGTTCCAGCCAGGAGGCAACAGAGGGCAAGCTGAGACCCCACGAGGTCATCAGTCAACATATACTTCAGAGCCTACCTCCTGCACATGAATTTTAAATGACTTCACATCTTCTGGCTGGCCTGCTGAAAATGTCCCAATCACAGAGATTAAGAAACATTTCATAGGAATGAGTTCCCCATTAGTGGAGGTATTCAAACAGAACCTGAGTAACCAGGCCACAGGGCAGCAGCCGCCTAAGTCAGTGGGGCTCAGATGATAGCTAGGCAGGTGGTCAATTTAGGTTCATGATCAAGTCTAGCCACTAAAACCACACATGGTCAATATGAGACTTAAAATATGTACAGCTTCTAGTGCATCTTCCTAAAGGGGAAATTTATGGGACACTGGGGTATTCTTCATCCTGACAGAACCCCATCACTTCTGGAAGCTGGGACTCTTTATCTCCATGTCCTTCACTGACTTGAATGGATCCATGCTGTCAGAATCCAGGGTCAGAGGTAACACTTTTGACTCCCGCTCCTCTCTGGCTTTGAAGATCCGGGAAATCATGGGGAGAAAGTTTGAGGGTTTTTTGTCCGAGAGCTGTTGTTGCTTGTGTTTGTTCCTCAAAAGGATGACATAGAGGTGGTGATTCGGGGATCTGTACTGGTTGTAACCTATATAGCTCAAATTCTCACTGAAGGTGCAGTCTTCCTCCGAGTAACGAATCTTTGGAGAAAGAAACAAGCATCTATGAGCATAAAATATTGCGCTGGTATCCTGTCCCTACAGCCACTGTCAGTGTGCTTTCCTTGAAGTACATGGAAAGTCAAGCATGGTGATGCTCACCTCTCATCCCATGACTTGGGAGGCAGAGGCAGAGTTCAGGAATTCAAGGCCAGCCCGGGTTGCATGGGACTGTCACTACATGTAGCCCTGGCTGGACTGGAACTCATTATGTAGACCAGGCTAGCTTGAACTCGAAGATTCACCTGCCTCTGCCTCCTGATTACGGGGATTGAAGGTGTCCCTAGCCATATCAGGCCTGGGTTTTCATTTTGAAACAGACTCAAGTACCCTATGCTGACCTTTAATTCCCGATCCTCCCGCCTTTTCTTCCCGAGTGTTGGGATGACAAGTGAGCACCACGATGCTGGGATTATGCAGTGCTCAGTCGAACCCAGAGCTTTGATCATGCTGAACTCCATTCCCCAGCCCTGGCATATTTTCAAATAGGGTCTCACTCTGTAGCCTTGACTTCACCAGGACAATCCCCCTGCTTCAGATTCCAAGGGGTTAGGCTGGTAGGTGTGTACCAAGTATCCATCCCATCTTAGAGAGAGAAATCCCCATGCAGCCACTGTTAGGATGCAAGTTTCCCTGGCTTTTAACTAGTGACATTAAATTCTGATTGTTATTTCTCAGCTTTCTGATCTCTGCCCCCAGTTTAGGCAGTTTTTCGGTAGCAACGGGCAGCCTTGCCTGGGGCCTGGGATAAAGGGAGAGTTCCTGTCTAGACCTGCTGCATGAGCTTTTCTAATGCTGAGATGGTTGTGTCTGTTACCATTGTGAGTAGTGTGAGTAGAGACGCCCCCTCACAGGCAGCTTGCCAGGATCTGCCTGATAATCCTCAACCCCTCCCCCACGCCCGGGACCTAGCCCGGACCCTGTGGGTGGCCGGAAATGTGCGCTTCAGGAAGCTGTCCCTGGTCCCCATCCTCAATACCAGAACATTCCTAGTCCTCAGGACTGAGGTACCAGTGGCAGTCTCCCAAACTGGTGCTACTTCCCTTTGGGAAGTCTGAATGGTTTAGTAAACATAAGCCGCCTGCCGAGGTCGCTGAACGCAGGTGAAGATCGAGGGCAGATAAGGCTCTGATAACAAGCTAATTCCAAGAACCCACAGCTCCTGCCCTGGCTGATGGCACGGGGATAGGGAATAGAGCCACAAGGCAGTAGGGGCCATGTTCCCTGAAAAATGTAGGTAAAACACAGGATTATTTCTCTTGGGGATGTCTTAGGGAGAATTGGTCAGCCTTTCTTCATATAGGAATGATAGATTGTGGAACTTCTATTAAAAAAAAAAAAAAGAAAGAAAAAGAAAAATGGTCAGGTAGAATTTGTGATGGGACTATGCCCAATAGATCCAGGGTAGCATTGGGATTGAGGGGCAAAGCTCCCATGGGCATTCCCGCCCCATTTAGATTATGATAGACTAGGGGTCGAACCCTCCTCCCAGCGCCCTAGCCACAAATACATATACCAGGAACAGTGTAGTGGGGTATTTGTTCAGGGCAGGAGTATCAGCTTTCACACAGGCAGTGAAACCCCTTCTTTGGCTCCTCGGCAGACCCTTCCCTTCTTTGCTTGTGGTCTTTTCATGTAGCTAAAACCACCTCAGAGCCACAAAACAATTTTGAGACTCTTAAAGAAAAAAAAAAAAAAAAAAAAAAACAAAGCAAAAACTTTGAGCCGGTAGCCATTGTTCCCCATAGGGGAGCTCCTCCCAAGAGCCCAGGCTGGATGGAAGAGCTTGGCCACCTGACCTCACACGGCCTCCTCTTGTACTGCCAGAGGGAGATCTGAAAGCTTCTTTGAACTCGCAGCTTTTGCTCCCAGAGCCCTAAGCCTTCATACTTCATACCTCCAGCCTCCCGGGTTTCAGGGGTTACTTGGACCTGGCCAGTCCTCCCCACCCCCACTCCCACCCTGCTCCCAAGCAGGTGAGCCCCTTAGTTTTAAGTATGCTGGTCTCTACATCACACCGTGTTCCTAGGACATGAAAATGGACTGAAAGGCATTTCCTTTCTTCTTTTTTTTTTTTTCTTTCACTTGAGGGAGAGAAAGGAAATCGAGGACCACACATGCATAGGCTGGAGATGAAAAGGGCAGAGGTTGCTTTTCCTGTTCAATATCAAAGGGGCCGAAAGTTGAATGGGATTCAGCAGCCAGCTGAGCCAGCCTTTTAGAGGATTGGACAAGCTCCGCTGGCCTCCTCATTCCCGACTACAGCCTGGGGCCATCGCTTTCCTCCGGGGTCGGGGGGGGGGCGGCGGCGGTAACATTAGCTTTACTACCTTGCCCTCGAAGTTCCTTATAGGCCTGAGCAGGGGGTGTAAAGACCCAACACGGACCTAGCGCGGCCCCGAGCATCCCACCTCGTGGGGAACACTCACCAGCCCCTGGATCTTGCCGTCCGCGCTCATGCAGAGGTACCGCACGCTGCTGACATCCTTGATGCTAATCGTCTTCAGAGCGACCGGGCGGAACTCTAGCAAATCTGCGAACAAGAGAAGGAAGAAGCTGCAGCAACACGTGGGTACGGCGGAGCCACACTGCTTCGCCCTTCCCCAGACCTAGTCTGAGAGTCCAGGGGATTTGTTAAGGTCACTGTAGCACCCACGCGAGGTTTTGGGGACCTAAGGGACCCCGAGGGAACGCGCTGGCAGACACTCACTTCGTTCGCTTTGTTCATCCTCGCAGTCCACGGAGCCATCGCTCCGGATATTCAGGAAGCAGTTGGAGATGTGGGGACCAGAGACGTACAGGTGCTGCAGGCGGGTGCTCTTGTCCCAGCCATAGAGAATGAGTGGCTGTTCATTGGACAGAGCCAGGGATCGCCGAACCAGAGGACGGCCAGCCACCGCCAGCCACAAAGTGGCCAGGACCAGGGCTCGGGCCACAATACACCCGTTCTGCGTTCTCCACATGGCACCTCCGGGGGGTTGTGAGGAGCGGTTACAAAGGTTACAAAGACTGCGATGCTGCAGGGACGCGAATGGCAGACACAGAGTGTTCGTGGACAGCAATGCAGCGGTGCGTGCAGCGTTACTGCTCCGACGGCTCTGTGTCTCCGGGCACGCTGCCTTATATACGTTTCATCCCCCTGGCCGGCCTGTAGGTGACCGTGGATCAGAACAGTTCTCCTAATTGCATCAAGTCTCCGCCCCCGCACACACCCTCTCAGGCCCAGCCCAGTGACCCCGCCCAGGTCGGCCAGATCTACAGGGGGGAGGATCCCCCACTCCCCTTCGCGATCGCGTCCCAGGGAGCAAGTGTTCAATGTGTACCAGCCTGGTGGTTATTGAATAGGCGGCTTTAATTTTACTATTAATTACTGAAGTCCCCCGGCCCTAGGCTCTCAGAGGGATGCGCTTTGGATGGTCACTAGGATAGAGACTGTAAGGCACGCAGAGATCTGCCTTCTTGGCCCCCAATTTGAGTCTTGGGTCCTCTCCCTTAGCTTGTCCTCGCAGATCCGACTCTCCCAAGTTCTCCCAGCCCCAGACCTAGGCCCCCTTTTTCTAGATATTTGCCCTGGACAGTGGAGACGTCGTGGGAGCACGTCGTGAGCACTAGATGGCGCTTCAGTCCCACCTAGTTTCGGTCTCCACATAACTGGGAGCCGCGCTCTGAGAGTCCTCTGCCTGCCTCGCGCGTGGTCTCCACAGGGACCGGACCGCGACTTTCGAGGAGGGTGGGTTGGCCAACATGCAGAGGCAGGACTGGCCTCTCTTATGTCTGTGATCAGGCCCCTGAGTCTGCGCGAGGGACAGCTGCCTACTAGTGAGGAGGGGCCCTGGTCTGAACGGTGGACTCTGCTGGCGGCGGGTCAGGTGGGAGGAGAATAGGGGCCTCGCCATGAGCCTCTCTTGCAAAGAAAGGAGGCAGTCTGCAGAGAATCCCCCTCCTCCCCGCCCCACCCCCGGCCTTGAAGAAAGGGTCCTCGCAGGGGTCTTTGGTTCAGCCCTTATCCTTTCTCATTATGCCTTCAATACCCAACTCCCGGGGTGTGGGGGTCCCGGGAGGCTGGTTTGGGTAAAGAGGTGCTGGTCTCGTTCAGTGATCATGGGAGGTCTGTCTGCAAGGGCAGGATAGAGGAGAGATGGCAGATCTGATGAATCTCAACGAGAAACACGCCACATTCAGACGCCATCAGTGACTGGCGTTAATGACGGAGCACTGGGAGAATGTCACCAGGAAAGTCTTTACAAAAAGACATCATCGAAAGGCCTCTGGACCGGGGACTCCCATGCTGTGAGGCTTGGTTTAGAGAGCGGTGCCTCCTGTAAAATCTAATTACTTCCCCCTTGTGATTTTCAATCGACAGCGCAGACTATTAATCTTAATTGCCTTCTCCTGCCGCTTTCGTTTTAATGTCTGTGATAAATGTGGGGTACCGGGGAGGCTGGCGAGGCTTCACTGAGGAGTCCCCCCAAATTGGCCTGGAGGGTGGAATACAGTTGTATACCATTTCGTTCGGCTGCCTTCTCAGAGACACCGGAAGAGATGGCCATGTTGGTAATGGAGTGCTCAGAGAAATGTCTGTAGAGTTCCCGGGGACCCCCATAAGAACATTCTTCCCCGTATTAGGTTTTACTCCCACCTCTGAACAGGTGGGAAATGAGACTCTGATAAGTGACAGGGTGCTACACATCCATGAGAGATGAGGCCTGTCTCAGGGCTTGGCCGGTGACAGCAGATCTACAGCTGGCTATGTGATGAACTCTGGGCCCGTCGCATCAGCCTGCTTCTGGACTTGTCTTGTGGGTCACATGGAAGAATGGGCATAGAGCGCTCAGACCTTTCTTCATATATAGAACAAGAGCTTGGGCTGTTCACGCAGAGAATGAGAGTTGGTTATAGCTGGCCTTCCATAGTTCAGCAATGATCTGGAAGTAAGGGTTGAGTCCTGAATGAAACAGGTTTACGAAGAATGAGGGGATGTGCCCTGGAGATCCGGATAACCACGCCTAGGTTTTGGCGGGTACCCCAGGGAGAGAAAAAAAAAAAAAAAAAAAAAAAAGGAGAGAGCTATTTGGCCAGCAGGTGGCACTGTTGTCACCTTACAGACTTTCCAGGTGAGAGAGGAGGGGATGCCTGACTTCTGTAGCTTCTGGACTTGCAGATCTGGCCCCCCCCCCCCCCCCCCCCCCCGGTACCCTTTGTGGTGCTAAGACTGTATTTCTAGACTGACATCTCATGGAGTCAGTGAGCAGGGCTTCTGTGACCTCTGCTGTTTTCTCAGGGCCCACACAGATGCCCAGATGGCCAGGAGCTTGGGGTTCTGTTAATTGAAAGAAAAAACATAGTATTTCTTATTCTTTGAAAGTCCCTTACTATTCTTTTTTAAATTATGTGTATATGTGTCTGTCTGTGTGGGAGCTCGTGCTGATAAATGCAGATGCCCAGAAAAGCCAGAGGTGAGATATGCCTCTGCATCTGGTTTGTAAATTGATTGATGTGGTTGCTGAGAAGGGAATTCAGGCCCTCTGAGAGGATAGTAGTACTCGTTCTTATCCACTGAGCCATCCCTCCAGCCCCAGTTCCATACAGTTGTGTTGGTCATGTCCATCCACCACTACCTTTACCTCCCCTAGAACCCACCACAAAATCTCCCTCCCAGATTAGTGTCCTGATTTCATTTATTTATTCATCTATCTATCTATTTATTTATTTGTTGTTGTTGTTGTTGTTGTTGTTGTTGAGACAGGGTCTCTCTATGTAGCCCTGGCTATCCTGAAAATCACTATGAAGCCTAGACTGGCTGTGATTTCAAGGCAATTCTCCTGCCTCAGCTTATCATGTGCTGAGTTTACAGCCCTGACCTGTCACAGCTGATTTTATTATTTCTTTTAAAATTCAGTGTCAAGTTTTGGAAAAGACAAAACAAAAGGCCCATTTACAGTCAAGGGGGGATACTTACCACTAATGGGGAAGAGAATGATTGTAGGTCACTAGAAAGTTCCATATCATGAATGTGGGATAAATATTTGTTAAAACTCTCAAAGTTAGCTGGATGGTAGTGTGCACACCTTTAATCCCCGCACTGGGAAAGAAGAGGCAGGTGGATCTTTGTGAGTTCCAGGCCATCCTGGTCTACAGAGTGAGTTCCAGGATAGCTAGGGCTATACAGAGAAACCCTGTCTTGAAAAACCAAAAACCAAACCAAAACGAAAAACCTCTTACAATTGTGCTCTGAGGGGCCCACAGATGACTTAGATAAAGGTGCTTTGCCAGAAACCTGAATTCACTCCCCAGGGTCCACATGGTAAAACAAGAAAACTAACTCCCACGAGTTGGCATGGGCCAATGCGCGAGACACACACACACACACACACACACACACACACAGAGGTAAATACCTATGACTTTCAAATCAGCATAGAGGTGGAATTTGTAATGTAGTTTCTAAATTTTACAGAGTGGGCTGCATCTGAATTTTAAAGGTGTGTTGATTTAGAACCTGTTTTATTATCATTGTTGAGACATACTACACAGAATATGCCCAGTCAACTGTTTTCTAGCTGCTGCCTAAAGGTTCCTAAGCTTATATCATCATAGAAGTAGGTGTTTCCAGGACTCTTTTTAGTTTGGAAAAAGAAACTTGTCAGAGGGTACATTTTATTTTAAATCATACCTTCAAAAATCTAATGGGAGGATCCCCTGGGTGTCTTGGGACTGGCCCTTGACCCGGCTTCCTGATCCAGGAAATGCAAGAAGCCACTGCTGCAGAGGATGTCTGAGAATGTGGGTGTCTGCCCCTAGACTAGAGGAGGCTAGGAGCACAGAGCAGGTCCATCACTGACTGATCTGAGCTGGCGTAGGGACTCATAGCACCTGCCAGCTATCCCTGGATTCACCACTAAGGGCTCCCATCACCACTGAGTTGTGATCAAGTGAGCTTTGTACATGTTGGTCTGGTTCCTGGCTTTCCATCAAGGGCAGGCCAGGGTGTGAGCAAATACCCAGCTCCGATTGTACAGGTTACCTTCCCACAGTCCAAGGGACAGGATCCAATAGCCAGATGGATAGAGAAAGTTCATCCCTTTAGGTTGGATTCCTCTGGTCTGGGCTGGCTTTCAATCATTTAGATGGGAAGGAAGTGGGGCTGCAATCCTGAGGTCCAGTGCCTGAGTTGCCAGTGAGCTGGGGCTTGTGTGATCCTAACTTAATATGGCCCAGTCTCCAGTTCTGCCAGCAGAACTCTTGCTGGTGATGCTCCCAGGAGTCCAGCAAGGTGGGTGGAGTCACTAGGGTAGAAGTGCATCCCTATGGGCAAAGCAAGCTCTCTATTTTCAGTGCCTGATTCCCACGCCTTCTGTTTGTTTTAAGGATACTTCTGGATGCTTCCTCATCAGACACTTAGAGTTACAGTCTCTGTTCCTCTTGAACTGGGGTCTGGTGGCTTTGAGTATGTTTATATGACATCTCCAGGGATGTAATGCTGGCCTGGCTCCTGCTCTGGGTTTGCTGTGAGTGACTATGACCACAGACACACTTGGTAGCATCTCAAGACCTCTAGAGGCCTCCACCCACTCCCCAGAGCTCACACTGAAGACCCTCCTACAGGGCAGCATGGTGTCTTCCTATTCCAGAAGTCCCTGCCCAGCAGTGGTCAGCACCTGTGAGAATGCTCACGGCCGTTTCAGGACCTTGGTCACCTGGCAGGCTTTCTGGAGTGGCTGCTGATGCTTGTGCCAACCAAGAGGGGATGAGTTCCCCATAGTGGCCAGTTTGCTAGCAGCAGGGCTGGAATCCAAACACAAGGCCATTGGCCTCTATGGGCCCTTTCAAGAATGGGATCACTGACTGACAATGACTTTCATAGATATTGACCCCTCATAGCACCCAAGACTGGAAGCCAGAGATCACGACATGAACAGGAACAAGATGTGGCAGTGCATGCCTGTCATCCCAACACTCAGGAGGTAGAGGC